TTAGATGAAAAAAAAAAACCCCCCCCCCCCCCCCACACACACACACACACACACACACACATCACAATATACTAAAAAATCTAATTCAATAGCAGGTTTGGTTATTTTGTTTATTCCATTTTCTGATTAATTTGTTTAATCCATTGACTTACCCAGTCATCATCCTTTACCAACATCAACAGGGTTATTCACAAATGGGTAAAAAGTTTGGAAAGGCAGAAAAAGAGAACAAACTAGGACAACATAACTAAACTGGACAGTAAGATGAATTGGAGAATTTTTCCATATCACCTTTTTTGGCTTTTTTGATTGTTCACTTCTCCTGCCTTCTCAAAACTCTTCACACATTTTTGTGACTAACCCTGCTAGTAAGCAGCAGTTGTTTCACCAAACAGGGCAGTAGTGGAAGAGTATATCTGACAATTGCTAGGTGGGTTTGCAGCTGATGTGTTTGTCAGTATTGCTCAGAACCTGCCCCATTAGTGAACATAGTGGGAAGAATTTATCAAAACTGAAGCAGACAAATTCTGGAGCAGTTGCGCATGGCAACCAATCAGCATCTCTCTTAGTGTGTTCAATTAAGATTTGGAAATGAAAGAGAGAAGCTGATTGGTTGCCATACACAACCGCTCCAAATTTTCTCTGTTCCAGTTTTGATAAATCCCCCTCAGAGCGCATTCTTACTGATTAATATCTTCATTATATCAAGAAAGTGTTGCAGTGTTTACTACAGGAGCTGTTACTAATCCATATAATATAGTTATTGGTTCTCACAGTGTAATTATCAATAATGCAAATATTTATATCAATGGGCATGAGTAATTTAACTTGCTTTGTTTATACATCTGGCTACTGTGAGGATATTCTATGAGCCTGGGCTCACACCTGGGCGTTCGTAATATGCGCGTTTTTAACCGCACGTATGTAGTGCGATTTTCTGTTCACAAAACGTGTGTTTACGAAATCTATATAAAGGAGTCCAATGAATACGTGCTGTAATCTGCCCCAAAAGAAGCTCATGTACTTGATCACGCTCATAGACAGCATTGTGCTTTTTTTTCAACTTTGTTTTTCTTTTTTTTTTTAAATTTATTTCACTTATTTTATTATACTGCTTGGTACCTCGGCTATTCTGGTCGGAGGTACCGAGCAGAATAGCCGAGCCAAATGTCGATTGGTATGCCGCTGGGCGGCATTCGGCTATTCACTTACTGCGGTTTAGCCCCTATGAGAATAGGCCGAACAGCAGCAAGTGAGATGCCAGAGCTTTGGCTCAGCCGATCCAGATGTTGGATGGGCTGAGTCGAACTCCTTCGGCACTTAGGCTCAGCCGAACATGGAGAGCATCTTCGGCTGACCAAAGGCAGCCGGTGTACGGCTGATTTTAGCCGATGTACGGCAGAAATCAACCGTACAAGCCAGAAGTGAATAGCCAAACACTTCACTTCGGCTAGGTTATTCACTTGACTGCCTTCTGCAGCTTTCTGGATAACCCCCTAAAACTTACTTAGTTCAACACTAGGCATGTATTTTGTCGGCCCATATGATAAATAGGCAGAAGTAATGCAGACGTTTCACATAGATGTGTTACTTAAGTCAACAGGGATTCTGCAAACAACTGACATGAATTGAAATTCCACATTGCTTACATCCCATAATACGTAAAGAGAATTTGTCACGTAGAAGGGAGCACTACAGTGAATCACTAATTAGTCAACGTATCATATTTTTGCCTAGTCTGTCCGCATTTAGATGAGATGCTACAATGTGGTAATACATTCAGACAGGGGGCTTCCACATTGAGTATGCACAGGACTCTTTTAGGACTTTCTGCAAGTGTTGAAGATTTGAATAAAAAGGCATTCAAATTGCTTACTCAGCTACTAGAATTGATAAAACTGTAGGCAGATTTCTCCACTTCTACTTTTTTTTCACTTTTTATGGCTCATGCATACAAATGTAAAAATAAACTAGTAAAATGTATGTAGGATCTTACTGGAAGGCAATAGCCTGTATATAAAAAAAATGTTCCCTCCAGCCTCCCTCCTCCGCTGCAGCAATGGTATTTCCCTCTGTGTTTTGGATGTGATGACTCAGGGACCTTAGACTGCTGCAGTGGAGGAAGAGAGACGCTCCAGGGAGCAGTATAACAACAAGCTGGCTTGCAGGATGAGCAATAGCCCCACTGCAATAGTTAATACATTTTTTCCTGGAGTTGTCTTTTAAAGACAACATAAAACAGTTAGAAATAATACATATTTCAATGCAAAGACCATTAAAACTATTTATTCTGATTGTCTTCCAGCATACTTTAACATATACAATTCATACTGTACATCGAGGACAAGAAATCTTATCGAATATAAATACATAGTAGACAAGTAAGTTTCTAAATAACATCATCACATTGACTCAGACTCTTGTTTCTCCACATGACAACTTAACAAACATTAACATGTCTTTCTTGTACATACTACATTGTCTGATTTTCCCATTTTCTGTTGAACGTTCACTTTATACACCAATAAGGGAGATTATTGCGCTTTTTTTAAAAAAATTGTCTTTTGGCATGAGTTTTACCTTTATACATTATAATAGCATTTTACTAATATAAGACTGGGGCTACTCATAAGAATTTACCACCTCACCTAGCAAGGGATGTATCTCCTTAATGGCATATACTTTATTTTTCATACATTATGGGGGCAATTTGATGTGAGAAGTGAGATGATGTCAAGTGAACTTATGCTTCTTTCAGCCATCCAGTTGTTTGCAGGAAAAGTTAGAGGGGGTAATTTATTAAAACTGGAGCAGACAGAATACAAAGCCCATGGTAACCAATCACCTTATTTCTTTAGTGTGTTCAGTTAAGCTTTGAAAATGAAGGAGAGAAGCTGATTGGTTACTGTGAGCAACTGCTCCAGATTCTGTTTGCTCCAGTTTTGATAAATCCCCCACCAGTCTTTTTAAATCTCAGTCTGATGTGAACCCAGATTCAATTCACTTAAAGTGACACAAATTCAAGAGTTAAATCTTAAAAATACATTCAAGTACCTTTATTGTTAACAAAGATGTATGTTGTTTGTGTATCACTTGGCTGTAGATCATTTAATCATCTTTGAATTGGTGCTGACACTGTCCTTCCTTCTGGAGGGGTACTACTTGTGTACCCCATGGTCCCAATGTGTATTGTAAAGTAGCCACCACTCCAAGCTCACTCATGTGATGGACTACAATCTCATGTTTAGTTTACTCATTTGTATTGAGATTGCAGTCCATCACGGGAGTAAGCTTGGAGCAGTGTGCACTTTACAACACACACATGGACCATGAGGAACAAAAGTAGCCACCCTCCAGAAGGAAGGACAGTGTTAGCACAAACTCAGAGAAGATTTGAGGATCTATAGACGATTGATACACAAATAAGATACATTTTGTTAATAGTTCTTGAATACAACTACTCGATATTAAAATGCATTTTTAAGGTTTAACTCCTTGGTTTCATGTCCCTCTAAGTAAGCCTCTCACAAAGATTTCATTTGAGTCAGTTGAAAAAGAAAAACTATGAAAGCTTTCTTAGTGCCATATACAGTAAGTACCACAATGTTTTTGTTTTGTTTTTTTTTTAACTTTTAATTAACATGAAAGGGAATGGAAAATATACAAGACATAAACTAAACAAATGCTACATAAAAATGATTTTTTTTCAGCACTATTATGCTGGCATTACAGGAAACCCATACAGAGAACAAGATGTGGGTTGTCCTTTTAAAAAAGCTTGAGTTGTAATACTTTCTGAGTCACTGACCTGAAACCAGTATTCAGAAAGTAAAGTCTGACTAAAACTGCATGTCTGGGTAGAAAAAAATAAAAAAATAAAATAAGTACCGCAATATATGCATTGTTTGCCATATTTTGTCTCTTTAAAATGCTGAAAGTACAGAAAAATACATGATGGTTCTGCCAGAAATCCAGGAGCTCCTAACTTCCTCTAGTGAGCTGTCAATGCTGTTGTCAGATGTGCCTCAGTTCTCCTGCTAGAACACCTCCACTGCATGTTACAAAGATCAGGGGAGGGAGAAGTGTTCTGTAATCAAGCAGGGGAGTACAGGGTGAATTTGGCAAGGCTGACTGCTTGGAATTTCAGTGCAGCATAGGCAGCATTGTCTGCTTCTGGCTGGATCAACAGGTATTGTTCTGTAAAATAATAAGATAAAACACAGGGATGTTTGCATGCATTGCACGTGTACTGCATGCATATATTTGTTTTTATTTTGCCTTGCCATACACGCTTTTCATATCTTGGGTCAATGACTCAGAAAGTACTGAAGCCATCGTAAGCTTGCCACCCAGACAAACAGCATTTTTAAAAGGGACCAGGAATGGCAATCTATTTTTTTCTACGCAGGTTTTTTGTTCCAGAACTCCAGAACATCATTGTTACAATCCATTTCACTTCAAATAAATATTTGGTATTTTTTTGTGACTTAAATAATTGACCAAACATTTAATAATGTATTATTTAATGTTAAGTTTCCAACATATAATAAATACTTTTTACTGCATTTGTTGCATTCCTCTGTTTTTATAAAAAATATTTTACTATTATTACGGATTCCATTATCACGTTATGGAAATTATATTTATTCCTGTTAATGTGAACCGAAGATTGCCAGTATCATTGTTTTACATTTATATATACAATAAGTGTACATGTCCTTAGTGAGACACTTCCATTCTCACCGCCATTAAAAACGTCAAGTTACATAGTACTTTCGTTCAGGTTAATGCTTATTTTAGCATTCTTATGAAACTGTGATGGAACCTTTTGAGTTATGATTTTTGAGGCATCTGCACCAGGATTCCTCAGTTCTTTTTTTCTTTGAAGGGTCCATGTCTCAGTACTTCATTTATTTGGGAATTTCATACAAGCTTTTTGCTTACATTGAATTTGGTGTAACTGCTGTCCATGGCGAAGATAACCTGGAATGGTTTGTGATTTCATATTGGTTGTCTGTAATTTCTGTAGTTGCTCCATGATCATATAGGGGAGATCCTGAGGAAGGTGAAGGTACTCCATGAGAAAGAGATGGGTAGTGTGCTGGAGAACCCCTCAAGTACTGAGATCCTAGGCTGTTAGAAATGCCTCCAGACTGAGAGACTGGTGTGATGGTGCTGTTGTTGACTGACCACAAACTAGGATACTGACTGCAAAATGAAATATATTGCATGAGTAAATATATCACTCTTCTAGGCATGTGTTTTACTATATAGCTAAGCTCAATCATATGACAGCAACAACAATAAACATAAAAGCTTAATTTATATAATATGCCTTGTTTTTATTCATTGGCTATACCAATTAAGTAGACAATTATGATGAATATCTATAAATAGAATGCATCATACATTCTAGTGTAAGCTACAGGATAGTTTTAATATAAACATATTAAAAAAAATATTAGAAATTTTGTTTCATTCCGAACTGATATTCATACGAATTTCATTAAGTTTGGACATTCGGATACATCCAAATTTTCTGAGTCCAAATGTGAATAAATCCACAATCAGCAGAGGTGGACCTGAAGTTCTCACTCAGGTCCACCTCTGCTGATTGACAGCAGCAGTAGGCGGATCCAATAGCCAGCCTACTATAGGCTATTCCAATTTGAAATGGCCAATAGCAGCCTAGCTATTCATTCATATGCTATTTGTTGTTTTTTTATTTCATTACTCAGACGGCAGCCTGCGGCAGCTGTCAAAATAATAGAAAAAAAAAACATAGCAAGGGAATCAGCAGATAACGGGGAGCTAATGCTTCCCCTGTTATCTGATGCTTTTTTTTTATTCAGACAGCAGCCGCAAAAAAATAAAAAATAAACAGGGAATCGGCCAATATCAGGGGGGAGACAGGCTAGGATTGGTCAGGGCATTTTTTACATTTTTAAATGGGGGTCCCTCCTAACATTTATAACGTTTGGGAGGAGGACCCCACGCTGTGTTTATTTATTTGTTTACATATTGCGGAGAGAACAGTCTGCTTCGGCAGACTGTTCTCACCGCTTCGGCTGTGTGTTAAACTCAGTCGAGCCGAAGCATATGCCTTTGTCTCGACTTAGCCGGTCGGCCAAGTTCTGGAGCTGTATGGGCTATAGTGAATAGCCCGTACATCAGCCCTCCGGTTCTACTGAACCGAAGGGATCCTGGGGCTGAAGCTAGCCGAAGGATCAGCTGAAGCTACGGCTAGATCCTTCGGCAGCTTTGTGAATAACCCTCTTAATTTATCCTAACGTGAAAAGCAAATTTGTTATCAATTTAACTATCCAACCATGTACAGATGTTTTAAAGATGATTGGATAATTGAAATGAACAGTCACACACATTTTTCCATGAAGATTCCCAGCTTTTTTTGTAAATAAACTTCAGACAGAAAGAAAGAAATCACTTACCTGGTGTTGGTTGAAGCTCCAGTGTTGTGAGTCATTGGTAGCATTCCTGTATGGGCTGACATTTGGAGACAGGACCAGTTGTCATGTGGCTGAAGCATAGATAGGCAACTGGTTGAATTATCTGTTATGCTTGCTACAAAACAGGAAAGACATAATGTAAGTAAATAATGTAATCAATAATTATATTTCCATTGTTAGGGAGATCAGCTTGCTTACATTTTTAGAGCACTTTCAGTACATACTTTCATTGCATTCAATTTTGATATAACTTGTTTGCTTGACAGCCTTTACTCATACAAGATGCTAGGGTCTTAAAAGACAAATGAATTCTCTAGACAGCTGGACTGAAATGTGGTGCTTTTGCCATAACATAATGAAAAAAGCCCTCAGAGGCACCGAGCAGAACAGAAAAAGAGTGAAAAAAGTAGAAAAAAGTTAATAGAAAACGATTGTGCAGAGCTAGCAGTGACAGCTAGCTCCGCCCAATAGTTTCATATTGTCCGGCGGCTCTGCTGCTGTAAAAAATACCCCTAAGTCATAATACATAACATTATTCTAAAGATCTGTGAAAGGAAATTCTTTTGGTATAAGAGTGCCTAGAAGTGTGAGAATAGATGTACACAATATGAACAATATCAGAGCCAAAGTTATAAAATATTGAAATATGTTTTGAAATAAATGCAACACATACTGCAAAGGAGGCCCAGGTTAATTGGTAAGAAATCTAGTCATGTGCCCTGTGAGCCAAGGTCATGCAATGCCCCTTCCCTTCCAGATTTTTTAATGTATTAACTATAGTGATATGCAGATTGACCTCTACAGAAAGCGTAAAATGGCCATGGCAATACAATGTCTCACTGTCACACAGGGCAAGCATTGTTTTCAATAGGCCTGATTTACTTTATTTTGAAGTGCAGTGGGCAAAATAGCCATGAGTCAAATTTACAATAGAGTGAAGTGAGCTGAAGTTGACATCGACTAAAAAGGCCTTTTTTTCTTTACAACTACTCCAATAATTGATCGGATTGTTGATGTTATAAAAAGTTCACTAAGTTTCTTTACGGATTAGTAAATATGCCCCATGACCACATAACAACACTGCACTTCACCTCTTTTCCCCAAACTTCACGTATTTCTAAAGCACAGTTCTTTAAACATTTTTAACGACTAACACACATTGACATCAAGCTGATCTCTTTTACATGTGTATCTAAAACATTATGGGGTAATTTATCAAAACTGGAGCAGGAAAAATCTGTAGCAGCGGCCCATAGTAACCAATCAGATTCTCTCTTCAGTTAAGCTTTAAAAATGAAAGACAGAAGCTGATTGGTTGCCAAACACAGCTGCTGCAGATTCTGTATACTCCAGTTTTGATACATTTCCCTCTATCTGTATCTATATGTATAGAGTATCTAAACACATTTTTTTAAAATATACATTCCCTTTAAATGCAGGCAACTAAGTGGTGCTATAATTTTGCAGTCCAAGAAACAGATGCCTGTATATCATAATTTATACAATAAACAAGAGTGTTAATTCTATAAAGGGGAGCGAGGCTGATATAATTAATATCTGCCTATACCTATAGACTTCACACAAAATAAACATTTCAGTATTATAGTGTTGAAACTTACTTGGAGAATTGTTTCTGTGAGAGTATGGACTGGGATATGGAGCTGCCCGGTGATTCCGCAAAGACGAATATCTATCACAGCCATGGGAAGAAGAAAGAGATAATGGGGCTACGAACTGAGAGTGAGGATTAGCTGGTGTGCACAGTGATCCAGTGCCAGGAATCAGCCAACTCCCTACTGAAGTAAGAAAACAGGAATTGGTTGTTTACATTTGAATAGATCTGGAGTACAATATAATCCTCAATATATTATCACCTGCCTTATCTTTTTATCCATCTGCATGGATCTATCACACTTTACATTAACCCCTTCATGACTGAGGCCTTTTTTAAATTTTTTGTCCCCCTGTTATAATCCACAATTTACGCCTGAAAATTACTTAAAACGCCCACACATTATATATTTTCTGAAAGCCAAGACCCTATAGAATAAAATGGTGGCAGTTGCAAACTTCTTATGTTGCACGATATTAGCGCAACTCCTTATCAAACCCCAACATTTAGTGATAAATGCACTTAAATGCCCCAAAACACAATAAAATACCAATTTTAATACAATGTAAAAGATGAGGTTACAATGAGTAAATAGATACCTGATATGCCAAGGTTACAAATTGTGTGCGTCTGTGAAACGGCGACAAAATTCAGTACCCCAAAAAGTCCATAGACGACGATTTAAAAGCCCTCACAGGTCATCAGTTTAGAGATACACTAAAAATACTGGCCCTAGAATTATTGCTCTCACTCCGGCGTGCGCGGCGATACCCAAATTGTGTAGCGCGTTCGTCGTTTTCATACTCAGGCGCACCCGACGCGCGTTAACTTGAAGACACGCGTGCTCAGGGGGCGGGGGGACTTTAAACATTTTTTGTAATTTTTTTTTTTTACGTTTATTTTATTTAATGTTAATTTTAAAAACTGTTATTTTTTTGTTTACTTTACTTTAATTGTTATAATATAGGGGGGCTTACAAGCCCCCTATGTGATATCAGATGGTGGTGAAAGGTACTCTTTAAGGTGATGCTGGGGGGTCCAAAAGACATGAAGGGGTTGAACTGTAGGGTCGAAGTCTTTGTAGCAAAATCTAATATTTTGTGATAATATTAATTCTTTCTTGCAGTGGTAAAAAAAATGTCCCTAATGCACCCTGCTAAAAAATGCAAACCTAAAGCCTAGGCAGCCTAGATCATTTATACAGGATGACCTGGATAAAATAGAGGAATGGGCAACTATATGGCAGATGATGTTTAATGTTGAAAATTTAAAATAATGCATTTTTGGGGTTAAAAATAGGCAAGAGGAATACATATTAATGGGTACTCCACTAGGGAAGTCAGAAATGGAAAAAAGATTTGGGGGTCATAATAGACCACAGATCGAATACTACCTTGCAATGTCAGGCTGCAGCAAACAAAGCTAGCAGAGTACTGCTTTGTATTAAAAACGGAATGTACTGTAGAGATAAAGTAATCATTTTGCCACTTTATAGATCATTGGTTCAGTCTCATCTGGAGTAAGCGGTCCAGTTTTGGTCACCAATCCACAGAAAGGATGTCCTTTAGCTGGAGGGAGTCCAGAGAAGGGCAACTAAACTAATTAAGGGGCTAGAGGACCTAAACTATGAAACAAGGCTACTAAATTTAAACTTGTTCACGCTAGAAGTCAGGCGATTAAGAGGGGACATGATTTTGATGTACAAAATGTTTAGTGGTGATGGCAACATCAGCAATAAACTATTAACAGTAAACTCCATAACTAAGACTAGAGGCTACTACCTGAAATTGGTGGAGAAAAGATTTAACCACAAGGGGCGTAGAGCGGTTAAAGTCTGGAACTCGCTGCCACAAGCAGTGGTATCACCTGAGAGTATTGAGTCATTCAAAAAGCATTTAGATGCCTTTCTCAGGGACCGTATCAGGGACTCGTGTACAAACATACACATGCATAAAGGTTGAACTTAATGGACCTGTGTCTCTATATTTACTATAGAGCCGAAGGTTTCAGCTGTAGCTTCAGCTGATCATTTAGCTCACTTGGGCCACCTGAGCCCTTTGGTTCAGTTGAACCGAAGGGCTGCTGCTGTACGGGCTATTCACAATAGCCCGTACAGCAGCCGAAGGCAGCCGAGCTGAACGCATATGCTTCGGCTCGGCCTAGGCTGACCTTTCTCCACGCTAATGACAGCTGGGCGGAGCTCACGGCCTGCTCCGCCCAGTTGTAATGATGAGCATCCCTAAAAGACCTGGGGACACTGATCTGCAGAGCTCAGTTGTTTTTTTGCCCAGGACCTGCTAGAAGACTCAATAGTAATCAGTTGGTCGGAGCTAGCGGTGATGTCACTGCTAGCTCCACCCAATTGTTTATATTTTGCCAGCATCTGTCAGATTCAACATTATGCAGCAGCAGTTCGTTGTGTGTATTATTTATTTACTTATTATTTTTATTTTCTTATTTCACCGGGTCATTGTCATGGACGACGTGATATAGATATAGACCTAAAGAAACTGGTATGCATTTTGGGGGGAACCCCATGGTTTTTTTTATTTTTTTAAATAGGGTCCCTCCTAACTTTCCTACCAGACCTAAAGGGTCTGGTATGGCTTGGGAGGGGGGATCCCATGCTGGGTTGTTTTTTTTTTCTTTTCGTTAAATTTTTTGTATTATTTTCGTAACTTTTTAAAGTTTTTCTATTTTTTTTACATTTATTTAAATAATTTTTAAACATTTAATTTTTTCATTTCTTTACATCTATATCTATTCTGCTCGCTACCTATGCTCGGCGGCATTTGGCTATCCACTCACTGCTGTTCGGCCCCTATGATAATAGGGGCGAACAGCAGTGAGAGAACTGCTGGAGCTTCGGCTAAGAAGATTTAGAAGTTGGATCGGCTGAGTCAAACTCCTTCTGCACTTCGTCTCAGGCCGAAGGTAGCCGCACAGAGCCGATGTATGGCTGATATCAGCCGTACTGAGAAGGAGTGAATAGCCGAACGTCGTTCGGCTCTGTTCACTTCAGCTCGGCTATTCACTCGGCTGCCTTCGGCAGCTAAGTGAATAACCCCCTTAGACTGCAGAGATGATGTTGGTATCAATAAGATGGAGCTGTTAGTTGTGCAGTGCTATTAAAGTATTAGCAAAGCCCAGAAAGGAAGCAGAGATGAGTGTTTGCAGTGTGTGATTTCTTGTTCTGATCATTTTCAACCAGATGTCTGATGTCTATGAGTAGCAAGATTTACTAAAAGGGTAAACGTGTTTTTGTTTAGAATATCAACTTAGTTTAACCCTTTGAGGACGGAAGCAATTGTCCAAGTTCTGAACATAAACAAAACATAGAATTTGAGCTATATGTCTGTTCAACCATAATTTACCTCTTTCACATTAGGTTTACCAATACTTAATATATATATTGTATTTTAGAGGACAAATAGGGCTTTTGTTTGACATCAAATATTTATAAATGAACTGTAATTATATATGTATAAAATCTAACCAATTTTAGAGAAATTAAGAAATGTTCATTTTTTCCAAACATGCACACACATGTTTTATTGGGAATATGTTATTACTGATATGTTTTACTGCAATAAAACACTCATAATTGTATTCTACAATGTCAGAGCTGCAGGGCTTAATTGAAATAAATAAATAAATAAAAATGGGTAAAACTAACAAAGAGTAATATTATAATTTAAAAAATGCAAAAATCACACCTGAATATGCCAAACAGTACTACTGTGATCACAGTTATAAAACTGTGGTTAGCGCTGAAGGGGTTAATTTTTTTAAATAAAATTATTAAAAATGAGTACAATTAAAAATAAAAAGATAAAAAGCGCCCACAATAATCCTCAATATTACTATTGTACTGATCAGAGTGATCACAGTTATAAAACTGTGATCAGCAATGAAGGGGTTCATTTTTTTAAATAAAGGACACCTACAGGGTTATTCACTAAAGAGTGAGGAGTTTGAAGAAGGCAGGAGAAGTGAACAATCTAGAACAACATAGCTAAACTGGAAAGTGAGCTGAGTTGGAAAATGTTTCCAGTTCAGCTATTTTGTCCTAGATTGTTCACTTCTGCTGCCTTCTCCAAACTCGTCACCCTTAAGTGAATAACCATGTTAGTAGCACTTGGACTACTTGGACACTTTCAGGGTTATTTACAAAAGGGTGAAGAGTTTGGAGAAGGCAGGAGAAGTGAACAATTTAGCACAAAATAGCTGATTTTGAAAAATTATCCTATTCAGCTCAGTTTCCAGTTCAGCTGTGTTGTCCTAGATTGTTAACTTCTCCTGCCTTCTCCAAACACTTCACTCTTTTGTGAATAGCCCTACACTGATCTACTTCTCTCGCCTCACATCACACTGTGGAGAGAGAGAACCAGAGGCAGTGCTGACAGCCAATGATTTGAATCATTGGCTGTTAAAATGTATCACTAATCACAGTAACTGGTTGTCACTACAATCATGGGTGCCGAATTGGAGATTGCCTAAGAAGTCTGGCAAGTCCCTGCATTGGATCCCGGTGGGTAAGTATAACGGGGGGGGACAGAAGGGCTTAGAAGTTAGAACGTTCCATGTTGTCCTAACGTCTTTAAAGCCCATGCTTTCTGGGAGAGCATAGAACATTCTAACGTTGGGAAGAGGTAAAAGTGACATTAAACCTTAATTTTTTTAATGTTCTGCTTTATGGGGGCCAGACTTGCTATAAAAAAGTTATTTTATTCTTTTTTTTTTATTTCCTTGCTCTTTAGTGGTATCCAGACCGCTAACGCCACTCCCCCTGCATGGTTGCCTCCAGCAGCTAGCCGACTGTTGTGAAGACACCCATATGTGCATGGTCACGGCTGTGCCCGCACCTAGCTGTGTGCGTCCATAGACACACACAGCGTGCAGCCAGCCACGCCCCCAACCTTGCAGTCACAGCTGGACTGATGGCAGAAGGAGCCTATGGCTCCTCTGTTCTCAGTACCCTCCCCCGCAACCAGGAAGTTCGGGGATTCCCAAGTACCTTCCCGGTCACGGCAGAGGAGATAGGCGGCTGCAGGTAAGTGTGGGGGGATGGGGGTGTTAGGAAAGTGTTGGGTGTTTTTTTGCCTTAATGCAGAGAATGCATTGAGGTAACAAAAAACCCAGCCTTTAAAACTACTGTAAGTGAATGTATAATTTAAAAAAACTACTCTAAATATGAGTGCACAAACAATTATCCCCCCTTCCAAGTTTTTATATAGATATAGACACACACCTATATATATACTTTTTGTTTCAACCAAATTCTTACGTATTCTGTCACAAGCATTTCTTGGGGTGTTTCTATAATCAGAAAGAAGAGTGCAAACTTACATTGCGAAAAACCTTGCTGACTATCAATTCCTTCTTCCAAGAGATCTTTGTTATCATTCCTGTAAAGAATAAAGAACATTTTCTCAGTCATACTGCATCATTTATCAGTTTATATCAGTTTTATAGTTGAATTAAAGTTCTTGTCCAAACTGAATATATTTCATTAACCTGTCATTAATGGAGTTTGTGAATGTCCATATACTCTGTAACAGTGTACCTAAAAAGTACATCTACATCCATTTTTTGTCAGTTCAAATAGAGTGGTGGGGTCTTAGAAACCCTGCCAGGATTTTCTTTATTGTTACCTGTATCACTCTCTATTTATCCTGATGACTACTGTCACCAGATCTGAGGGTAGTAAGGTAAAATACGAAATGTTGAGCCATCACCAGAATGGCAATAGAGGGGAAATCTTCCAGCGGAGACACTTGTTTCAGTAAGAAGTAACCACCGCTCCAAGCTCCCTCCCATGAGAGTCTATAACATCAATACAACATGATAAACTAAACGTGAGATTGTAGTCAGTCACAGCAGCGAGCTTGGAGCTGTGGCTACTTTACAACACACACAGGGACCATGGGGAATAAAAGCAGCCACCCTTTCAGAAGGAAGGACAGTTTCAACACAAAGTCAGAGATGATTTGAGGATCTACAGCCAAGTGATGCACAAATAAGATACATTTTTGTTAATAGTTAAGGTACTTAAATGCATTTTTAAGATTTATCTATTGAGTGTAGTGTCACTTTAAAAGAAGTGTAGCGATGACTACAAGAAACAACAGAACTATTTATTTTCTTTGCCTTCCAAACAAGCCTTTCTAGTCCCCACATTCTGTACAGCATCTGCTTTCCATGACACATTCCAAAGTATTGTGTTTGTGAGTCACCTAAAGAGTTGCCCGAATTCTCTCTTGACCACTATTCACATAAACCAAATAGAGTAAATGTGCAGTCAAATACTTGAAACTTTACACACATAAAGTATTCATTGCTGTTGCCAATTTATTGAACAATAAAGCATGTTTGAAGGGGCTGAGATAGGTGTCATGCAAAGGAGAACCAAGTCAGATGTTTATGCTGATAAAATGTGGGTGGTTGTGCTTTACTGATGCCTGATGAACAGTAATATTAACAATATGATTTCATTACATTATACAAACATATACATTGTGATATTTTATACAAAATAAATTATTTCATTTGTGCATAATAACTCATATTTCAATGGACATCTTTAAAAGTCTGTAAGTCAAAGAACTCCAGGAATTTAAAAAAAAAATATTATTATTATTATACAGGATGTATATAGCGCCAACAGTTTGTGCAGCGCTTTACAATATAACCCTTGCAGTGCGGCTACCCCCCGCATTAAGCGCTTGTTTGTGTCTACATGCTAAAAAAAAGTTATACTCACCAGACCATCCAAGCTGGCTTGTTTTTAGACCGGTGTCTCAAGCATCTCTCCCCCTCTGCTGCAGCGGTCTAAGGATCCTGGTGTCATCATACTCTATACACTGTACATAGTCAGTGTATAGACGTGAGGATGCTGAGGAGCATTCCATCTATTCAGTGGAGGAGGAGACACACTTCAGTGATCACAGAAGCAGGGAGCCAGCTCGCATGGTCTGGTGAGTATAATTTTTTTTGAGCACCTAGAAAAAAAGCACTGCAAGGGTTAATACATTTTCGAACTTGAATTCTTCTTTAAAATGACTTATGACAAAATAGCTATTTTCCCCCCTCCTGTGATATCTCTGGTAGCTCCTGTAATGCATTCAACTCTACAGCCTAAAACGCAGCATGGAGCTATAATGGTTTTGGGGTTTATTTTAATTTTTTAAGGTTTATATATTTTCTGTTTTCACTATGGGGGTTATTCATAAAGCTGCCGTAGGCAGCCGAGTGAATAACCGACCCGAAGGGAAGTGAAGTGTTCGACTATTCACTTCAGGCTTGTACGGCTGATTTCAGCTGTATATCGGCTGAAATCAGCCGTACATCGGGTAGCTTCGGGTCGGCCGAGCATGCTCAGCATGTTCAGCCGACCCAAAGTGCAGAAGGAGTTTGACTCAGCCGATCCACTCGCTGCTGTTCGGCCTATACTCATAGATGCCGAACAGCAGTGAGTGTATAGCCGAATGCCCTGAGTGGTATTCGGCTCGGCTTTTCTGCTCAGTACCTCTGGTGGTACCGAGCAGGATAGAAAAACAGTAAAAAAAAGTTTTAAAAAAATAGAAAACGACTAGGCGGAGCTGGCAGTGACAGCGAAGCTAGCAGTGACGGTGGAGCTTGCAGTGACAGCTAGCTCTGCCCAACTGTTTTCTATTGGCCTGGACCAGCTGTCATTACAATGAGAGCTTGTCGGAGCCTGCGGGGATATGAAAGCCAACTCTGCTAAGCCACCATCCTAATGACAGAACAGCCTCCGCTGGTTACCTGGTAACCAGCGGAGGCTGTTCTGTCATTAGGATGGGAGCTTAGCAAAGTCGGCTTTCATATCACTGCTGGCTCTCCTAAGCTCTCGTCGTAATGACAGATGGGCCTCCCTGGTTACCAGGTAACCAGGGAGGCCCATCTGTCATTACACACTGAGAACCCGGAGGAGCCGCAGTGATTTTACAGCAGCTCCGCTGGGTTCTCAGTGTAATGATAGATTTTTCCCTGGTAACCAGGGACGCCGTTCTGTCATTACACACAGAACCCGGCGGAGCCGCAGTGTAATGTCAGATTGGAGTGCTTGGTTAGCATGTAACCAGGGAAGCCGTTCTATCATTACACATAGAACCCAGCGGAGCCGCTGTGATATCCCTGCAGCTCCAACGGGTTCTCAGTGTAATGACAGAACGGCGTCCCTGGTTACCTAGTAACCAGGGACGCTGATCTAAATCTGCAAGTGGCCGGAGCCAGCCGTGAGATGATGGCTGGCTCCGCCCAGCTGTCAGTAGCAGGCCGTCGGCCTGGCCAATGGCCGGCCGTTCAGCCAACTTCAAATTTCCCCTGGGCTATAGTGAATAGCTGTGCGGGCTATAGTGAATAGCCCGTACAGCAGCCCTTCAGTTCTACCGAACCGAAGGGCTCAGGCGGCCGAAGCTAGCCAAAGGCTAGCTTTGTGAATAACCCCCTATATATTTACTATGATGACTGATATGAATTCAGTCAACAACAGACTTCTTTCAGCACAGCTGAAAATAAATCATGCTAATACTAATGACGAGGAAAGACTAGAGCTCCACCTGTTGACTGGATGGAACAATGTAGTTAAAAAAAGAAAAATATTTATTTAAAATGTATTTTTTGTCCAGAACCAACAGAAAAAGAAAATATCCACAATGCCAGTATACATTCACTTTAAGGTAGCATTTGCATACATCTTGCCTTCACTACCTCTCTCCCAAGCAGAGGTGTTAAAATGATTGTTAGGGCTGTATTGGAACTGTATGCTTGATGTATCCTGCTGGTTAGTAAGAACATGGCTAGTTCTAACTACATTTCTTTAAATAATGACCATAATTTAGCTAAATCAGCACAATAAAATTGAAGAACCACATTTACAAATAAACCCATTTTACCTTTCTTTAGCATCCAGGAATGCCTTTGCAAATGGGTTGTGCTTAATTTTAAGAGATGTAATCTGGGGGGAAGAAAACACAAACATTACATTTAAGTGTATAGCTCATGCATATGTAGTAACTAAATACAATTATGACTTATGACAATTATGATGTAAATGCTGCTTGGGTCCTGTGCAGGATGTGCAATGCAAAGTGCTATTTACTGAAAGCTGCAGTATAAGGTATAATTTGTTTGTTGCTGCAGAGTCTGAGTGTGTGTGCGTGCAAGTATATATGTAGAGGATGGGGGGGCTTTTTAAAAAAAAGAAATGCACTTGTTCTTGAATCTATTAGAGACCTGCAAACTACTGCACATGGCTGTGTGAAGCAGACACAAATTAACTGAAACTACCCATTTAGAAAAATCATCCCCCAGAGAACCTTACTGCCAAAAGTGGATCAGATGACATAAAAACTCCCCTTACCTCTTCATTCTGATAGGCTGTCACAGCTATAAACTGAGTTTCATGAAAGGAATGACTTGTAATCATCCGTTGTGGTCCTCCAACTCTCACTATGTGAATTCTGGGCTCATACTTGTGTAAAGAGTTTAACATTATCTGGAGGATAGAGAAATTTCACATTTTCATTAACGATGCAGCAATACATTTATGTACCAGGTAATAAAAGGACAGTACACCCTCAGGGGCAATTTACTCATTGAGTAGATAATGTTAACCTGTGCTATTTTAAATCATCTGATTATGTGCAATGCAATTTAAAAAAAAAAATTTCCTGCACATAATTGCCCATTTAAAATGAACATATCCATTATCCACACCTTTAGTAAATCAATGCTAATGCATTACATTTCTTGGGAAACATTTGTTATTTTTTGCAAAAATGTGGTAATCTGCTTTTTCTAAAGTTTCTATTTTTTATATTATATGCAACACATTTGTATGTATTTTTTTAGCTAGCTGCATATTCTAGTATTGAGCAGAAATTGCCCACCTTTTTTCTCCCACAGTTTTTACAACAAACTCCCATCCCCCTTGCACAGCACTTTAGTAAGTGTTTTTTATTACCTGACCTCCACTGTTCATTTTATTGGTAAGTTTGACTTTGCTGAAAGAGACAGGGTCTTTCATCCAGTGAGCTCCAAAGTTGGGAGAGTCAGGGTGAATATAAACACAGCTGGGCGCCTGAGGCTCTGGTTTACCCCCTGGCACCCATTCTCCATTCACATACTTCCATCGATGGTTGTCTGCTGCTACAAAATCCAGCAGGAAAGTATACATAGCATTTGGGTCCAGGCCTGAGACACTCACTTTCAACACAGGAAACATTCGTCTGAAAAATAAGGAAAATATTTGCTTAATTTACAATGACTATTGACAACTAAAAAAATATAATCTATAAAGCAATAACAAAGCTTTTTGTGATGACACTGTATATACAGAAAGCCATTCAGGTCAAGCATACATCCATATGCTCAGCAGATCACATATTAGAAGGTACATGTGCTTGCCTTACAAGGATTAATATTGGATATTTTTTTCTAAATATTCTATTTATTTAGCCTTTGAAATATAATGAAATAAGTGAATATATTAATACCAAAGCAACTTATATAAATATATATAACTAAGCGTCCAGAATATTTAAAAGTGTTTCATTATTTGTAAGTGGACTATTATTAATTTTAGTTACAGAACTAATATTTGTATTGTGTAAAATGAAAATTAAATGAGATTTACTTACAACGGTTATTACAATTTTTTATTACATTTTACAAATGCTTTACAATTAGGAAAAAAAGTATTGTGCTGGAAAATATTTAAAATGGACAAATCCCCCTTTTTTGTTAATTGATCAGCACTACTGTGCTGATTCTCAGAGGCAGACAACTGCTTTGATTTCCCATGAGCATGCACCTGTACAGGTATATATGAAAAAATAAAACTATATAGCCAGCAAAGGAGGCCAATCAACTCAACCTAATGGGCAGACTGTGAGTTAGACTTTAGTAAATTAGGCCTTGTGTCTTTTTATCAAAAGACAAATAAAGCGATTCAAAAGGTGGTGTTAAAAAGGAAATGAACTATCCGCCTTGTTTATTACCTTTCAACTCAATGTCTTCTTTTGTCTTTAATTTAAAGTCAAGGAGCTCATCTACTGAGAAGCAGCTTTAACCCCTTCGTGACTGACGACGTACAGTGTACGTCGCCAGCATCGGGGCTGTTTAAACAGACTCCCGGCGACTTTTGCCGCTTTGCTACTGAAGCAACATCCAAGCACTGACCTCTTAATATACATTTATAGAGTTGTAGACTGATATAGAGTTTATATCAGTCTACAAAGTACGTTTATGTAAATATACACATAATTAATCCTGTGTGCACTGTTGCACTGTGAATTTTTGTAGACTTGTTTTGAACTGTCTTTGCAGTCAATGCACTTGAAATGCTAAAGAGGTAGGCGATGTTTAAATGGCTAAAAGGTTACAGTGAACCAAAGTACACAATTCGAATATAGATGGTCTTTTGAGGTTCCCAAGCAATACATTATATGTTATATCAAAGTACAAAGTATGGGTACCTCATAAGTCCTTCTCTATTTGTGTTATGTAATTTGATTTATTGGGATGTGGTACCCTAAAGGCCTACAGACTTTAGTGAAATAATCTAAGCCATGTTTACTTTGATTATCCAATCATGTGCAGGGGAAATTTAAAGCAAAAATCTCCCCTGAACATGATTGGGCTTGATAGATTTAGCCTTGCAAAATTGATAATTGAAGTTAGTACAGCTTCACTTTATTCACTAAGGTATGCAAAGATTCTCTACTCCTTTAGTAAACAACCCCCAGTGTATTCACTCTCATTTCAGAAACACATATGAAAAGCATTGTGAACACTAAAAATTCTTAAAAACAAATAAGCATTCGGATCACAAATTTGATGTGGTAAGTTAATGTATATGTTGAAAGCCAAATGGTGTTCTGTTATCTAGTACAGGAGATAGATTGCACAGGAATTGAAATGCAAAGACAACTCACCTAAAGATTTGAAAAATGCATGCGTTTACATGTTTTTTAGAAAAACATAAATATACGTGCCCTAAATGTGTTTGGAGAAACTGCTAAATGCTTAAAAGCTTGCCAGAGCAGCTGACCTATGTGAATCTGTCACGTGTGAAGCAGGATATTTTATAGATCAGACTGACATAATGAGGCTGATTTACTAAATGAGTAAACTGAATCATGTGAAAAGCACAATTCCTTTTTCGATATGATGATTTGGAATTCAAAGTGAACAAAGCTGCAATGTATTCATTAAACATTCTCAATTCCTTTAGTAAAAAAACATTGATGCAGCAATCACATTGGAATATCAACAGTTTGCTACATAGAGATTCTAATAACATGAAACAACTAATCTTATTGTCAGATGTTGAGATTGTCAGATCAGCATCAAGTAAATCTTTGTTATTTTCGATGGACTTTGGAATCAAACATAGATCTTCTGTACATCAGTCAATGTAATGAATGTCACCTTCTTTAGTAACTAGAAAGCTTCCAGGTAATTTTATAGCATATCCTGAGTTTAAGAATATCAGAGGAACGTACAGTTTCAAGAAAAACCTTATGGCGATAAAGTCTTACTCTTACCTTCCATTTTTAGTGACAATCATCTCATTGGTGAGCTCCTTGAATCTCTGCCACAGTTCCTGGTCCTCCAGAGTAACTTTAAGATCTCTTTCTGTGGGATCTCCTTTCTCACTGCCAGCTTGAAGTTCATTTTCCACCGCACTGAGAAGATGATCTACTCGGTACTGCAAGTTCTTTCCACAGCTATCTGTTGCACTTAAACTCATTCCTCCAGTCTTGCTCATTCAACACAGGTAAAATCACTTCAGCAGATCCAGAGGAGATATATAAGTGTTATCAGGATTCTGTCAAATATGTGTGATCAGTAGTTAATGTCTTTGGAGATAGTAAATCCACAGATAGTGACTTGTGCCAGCAGAAGGTTCACCAATCAGGATTTCATTACTTTACTTTCCATTAAATAGGCAGGGCTTTAGTTGATTACATCACTAGTAGGGTAAAGCATTTGCTGATTGGCTAGAGTACTCTTTGATGTTTGTCAATAAGCCTCTTGATTGGTCTGTCCTGCACACTGTGATAATCTTCTGAAGTTAATTGCAAGTCAGAGGTACTTTATGCAAATCTCCAAATGTTTGCACCTTTATCAAAGAGCCCTGGTGCAGTGAGGAAATGGTGTGACTGTCCAAATAACCTACCTTCAATTGAAAAAGGATGACACCTTAATTTTAATTTTAAATCCTCAATGGGAGAGAGTTTAACCAAAATATATTTACAGAATATAAATTTAAAGTGAATTTGGCATATTTAATGCAGCATCCTGGAACAGGGCGAGGAGATGCAATTGTTACATTTACTTTTAAAATTCATGCTAATATTGCCATGTAATGTGAAGTAAAAATCAGGAGGCTTAGTACCTTTAATATTAGATATTTCAGCAGCTGAACAGAAGTTGCATAGAGCCAAACTTCTGAACACAGCTCTGTGCATGTATACAGCATGCAAAAATTCCACAATAATTTATTATTTCTATGCCCATAGTGAATGTACTATTCTATTATAATATTAATATGGGTATTGCTGGATTTAGCATAACTATATTATTTTGCTTCATTACATGTGGTTAATATGACAGTAAATATTCTGAAGTACTTATTTCATAAAAATAAACTACACCTAGGTCATTTTAACGTTGAATATGCTGGCATTACAAAAAATATATATTTTATGATGGCTAATTTCAACATCACAAAACTAGCTAATGCAATCTAAGAGAAAGTGCTTGTTTGTACGCTAAATCTATTCATGCCCATCTCTCATAATTGTGCGTGAAAGTAGACTTGCTGACAGTGTTTGTGCTGTATGTTGTGGGGGTGCTTTATTACTTTCTGTGAGAATCTGTGAATGGCAGGAGAAAGGTGACAATGGACAGGAAACTGTTCAATAGGATCTCTTTAAACATTCCCAGCCTCTTTAGACACATGCTGGAGATAAAAAGAAATCTAGTGTAAAAGCTATGATTTTGTTTTCCATGTTTAAAAACCACTATTGCATTGTTACAACATTTATTTCCATCCAGAGTTGCATTTATTTTTTACCAAGATCTTGTAGTGATGATGGGAGAGTTGGGCCACTCTGTATAGTCTACTCCACCACATCCCAAAGATTCTCATTGGGGTTAAGGTCTGGCCTCTGGTAGCCAATCCATGTGTGAAAATGTTGTCACATGCTCCCTGAACCACTTTTTCAAAATTTGAGCCCAATGAATTGGCATTGCCGTTTTGGGATATGCCTCTGCCATCAGGGAAGAAAAAATCCATTGATGGAAAAATCTGCTCATTCAGTATATTCAGGTAGGCAGCTGACCTCATTTTTTGGGGACATAACATTGCTGAACCTAGACCTAACCAACTGACGCAACCCCAGATCACAACACAGCCTGAAATCCAGATGGTAACTCTTTTTGGCCAGGCAGTGTATATATAGAGATTCTGTTGCTGGTATAAAGCAATACCTAAAGACTAATTCCACTTTCTGTTTCATGTTACACCAATTTTCAGGGTAAAACATGAAATATGGTCACATAAGCAGCTCCACACCCCCAAAGAGCCCCACTCTTAACAGAATTGTGAGGCTCTTCTCCCCGCAAATATGATTAGATCTGTAAATGCAGGGACCACATGTCCCATCTGCCAACATAGTTCTCAACGGATTACAAGTGCGGTGGTGTCACTACACTTGTAATCCATTGACACTTCCTCTCATCCATTTAACTGAAAATCCATACCTTGGTTTGAACAGGGATTGAAGGAAGAGTCTGCAGGAGCCAGAGCCTTGCACCCACCATCCACTGATAACAGTTGCAATGCTTTGCACGCCGATATGCAAGAAAGGGGGTTATTCACAATGCTGCCAAAGGCAGCCGAGTGAATAACCCAGCCGAAATCAACAGAGCCGAACGATGTTTGGCTATTCACTTCAGCCCTGTACAGCTGATTTCAGCCGTACATTGGCTAAAATCAGCCATACATTGGTTGCCTTCAGTCAGCCGAACATGCTCAGCCGACCTTTCTCCCCGCTTCGGCTGTCACTACAGCTCAGCCGTAGCTCAGCGGCATTCGGCTATTTATTCACTGCTGTTCGGCATCTATAAGAATAGACCGAACAGCAGCGAGTAGCCTGCCGGAGGTTCGACTTAGCCGACTGAGAAGTTGGATCGGCTGAGTCGAACTCCTTCTGCACTTCGGGCCGGCCGAACATGCTGAGCATGTACGGCCGACCGGAAGCCACACGAAGCCCCCCGATGTACGGCTGATTTCAGCCGATATACGGCTGAAATCAGCCGTACCAGCCTGAAGTGAATAGCCGAACAGCGTTTGGCTCACTTCGCTTCAGGTCGATCGTTCACTCGGCTGCCTATGGCAGCTTAGTGAATAGACCCCAGTTTATTTTCAATAGCTGGATTATCAGCGTCTTGTAAGGTTATTACTGAGATCTTGCTGCAAAGAATTGACTGAGTTGATCTCCAGATCCGGTTAAAGGAGAACTATGGGGTTAAGGCTTTTCCCCATAGTTCTCCTTAGGGTAACAGGAGGACACAAACTAGCGTCCTCCCGTCACCCTAGGCTCAGTATACGGTGAGCTGTAGCTCGCGGTATACTAAGACGATGAAGCGGATCCCGACAATTATGTCTGGATCCGCTCAGCTGCATGACTGACAGCTGGTTCTGCCTATCAAGAGGCAGAGCCAGCTGTATCTGCCCCCTCCCCCATCTGTTCCGCCAGTCAGCGCTGGCGGATCGGAGTGGGGAGGGCGGAATCCAGCCCCTCCCCTGTCACGGCAGAGAGCCGTGACAGGATCGAGTGGTGAGCGAACGCCAGTATGTGTTCGCTCACCTCCCGATCTACTGAGCTGACCTGTGACAGTCTCATTGTCACAGGTCGGCTAGAACTATGAGGTGAGTGAAAATCACTCACCTCATAGTTCTCCTTTAAGCAGCAACTGTAAAAGAAAAGTATATACAGTACTACACTATGTCTCCTTAGACCTAACACATAGCAGAACTTTCAAATAGTGGTTTAAAAAAATAGACTGTATATGTAGCAACAGTTACCAAAGTCAAAGACTCAGTAGCTATTTCTTCCAATACAGTTAATTTTGCAATACATGTGGGTGTCCAAAATAGACTATATTGCCAAATGTATTGCCAAATCAGTGGATTCAGTCCAATCACCTCCATTGCCACAGGTGTATAAAATCAAGCACCTAGGCATGCAGACTGCTTCTACAAACATTTGTGAAAGAATGGGTCACTCTCAGGAGCTCAGTGAATTCAAGCGTGGTACCGTGATAGGTTGCCACCTGTGAAATAAGTCCTTCCGGGAAATTTCCTTGCTACTAAATATTCCACGGTCAACTGTTAGTGGTATTATATTAAAAGTGGAAGCAACTGGGAACAACAGCAACTCAGCCATGAAGTGGTCGGCCACGTAAAATGACAGAGCGGGGGTCAGCGCATGCTGAAGCGCACAGTGCACAGAAGTCGCCAACTGTCTGCAGAGTCAATAGCTACAGACCTCCAAACTTTGTGTGGCCTTCAGATTGGCACAACAACAGTGCGTAGAGAGCTTCATGGAATGGGTTTCCATGGCTGAGCAGCTGCATCCAAGCCTTACATTACTAAGTGCAATGCAAAGCGTTGGATACAGTGGTGTAAAGCACACCGTCACTGGACTCTAGAGAAGTGGAGATGTGTTCTCTGGAGTGACGAACCATGCTTCTCTGTCTGGCAATCCGATGGATGTGTTTGGGTTTGGAGGTTGCCAAGTGTAAAGTTTGGTGGAGGGGGATTATGGTGTGAGGTTGTTTTTCTGGGGTTTGGCTTGGCCTCTTAGTTCCAGTGAAGGGAACTCTTAAGGCCTTAACATACTGAAACATTTTGGACAATTTCATGCTCCCGACTTTGTGGGAACAGTTTGGGGATGGCCCCTTCCTGTTCCAACATGACTGCGCACCAGTGCACAAAGCAAGGTCCATAAAGACATGGATGAGTGAGTTTGGGGTGGAGGAACTTGACTGAGTCCTGACCTCAACCCGATACAACACCTTTGGGATGAATTACAGCGGAGACTGCGAGGCAGGCCTTGTCCAACATCAGTACCTGACCTCAAAAATGCGCTTCTGGAAGAATAGTCAAACATTCCCATAGACATACTCCTAAACCTTGTGGACAGCCTTCCCAGAAGAATTGAAGCTGTTATAGCTGCAAAGTGTGGGCCAACTCAATATTGAATCCCACGGACTAAGACTGGGATGCCATTAAACTTCATGTGCATGTAAAGGCAGGCATCCCAATATTTTTATACATAGTGTATATACACACACGTAGCACACAGGAATTGGATACAGATATAAAGCAAACTCAGTCATTTAAAATTCAGACACACTTAAAAAATAAAGTAATTGTCAGCTTTAGTATATCTTAAACTCAACTTTTTTTGTTTTGGATACACTAGGGAATATTAATAACCCCTGTTCATTGCTGATGTCCCAGTGGGGAGACTATTCTGCTCTTCCTCTTCTGAAGACAAAGCAGGAAGTGAGAGAACGTATCTTCCTCTCATTTCCTGAAAGAGGGGAAATCTCGTCTTTGCAGTTGTCACTAACATCTCCTCTATTCTTGTTCTGGTGCCAACTGTAAGATTTTTTTTATTTCCCATTGCTTACTGTCCTGAGACAGTGGTCACCACAGCAAAATGTGATTGGGAA